CCCCCCCCGCCCCCCCCCAAAGATTCAGAGACAAATGTTGACTCTCAGGTTGAAATTTAATAAGCAGGTGAAATGAGGCAGATCGCTCTGGTGGTAACGCGCTGCGAGTTTGCAACAAAACGGGAGCTTGGCGATGTGTCTTGGCATATTCTTTAGATAAAAAGGTCCAGGATGCAAACCTGTGGACAAGGCGTCCTGCCATCCTCACCGAAACCCCCAACCAGGTAAAGCTGGTCGTTCCAAAGGCAGGTGCGATGGCCCACGCGCTTCAGCCCTTGGTCTGCGCAGGGGAAGTGGAACCACGAAGGAGGAGACCTGCCTGCTGGCGAAGAGCAGAGGGTGCTTATTGAGGCGGTACCGTTTTGGCACCATGGGGCTCCTCCTCGTCTTCCCACCTTCTCCCCACCCTCTTCCCCCCCTCAACCAGCCGGCCCTCACGGGTGTCATAGATGTACAGGTCATTGCAGATGGTGCCTCTGGCTCTGGTCAGAGTTTCTCCGCCAAACAGCACGGCAAAGGGCCCCACCACGGAACACGAGTGATGCCGCAGGCCCCGGGGCCCCTGCCGGGACCCCTGCCCAGTGCTCACAAGCCTGGCAAGCTGCTCCCTCAGATGGGGGGCAGCAGGTGGTTCCTCCTTGCGGGAGAAAGAAGGGGTGTTGGCTGGAGGGATTTGGGCCTCACAGTTTTTGCCCCTTTCCACCCTAACAAGTTGTGAGTCGACAGGTACCCCAAGCTTCCCGTGACTCCAGTGCCCGGCTACTTCTGGTTCAGCCGAGTTGCAGCCCCCAAAGAGCAGGAGCTGGTGGCCTGGGCGGGGCCCGGGAGTTTGGAGCAGGGCAGCGCAGTGACCCGAGCGTGAGGCTGTGTGACAGCCCTCTTCCTTATAGCTGTGGATATGCAGCAGTTCGGGCCTGAGTTGGGTTTTCTGGAAAATACAAGTGCTGTACTGCCCTTTCCCCAGCCCCTTTCTGTGGTGCCAAGCATGGAAAGGAGGCAGGGACCAAGCAGCGGTCGGATGAGAGAGTAGCACCGGCAGAGAGCGAGCTCGCTATCGTAGTCACGGTGGGTGCGGGGGGAGGCGGGTGCCGGGGTGCGGCTGTGGCCGGGGTGCGGCTGTGGCCGGAGTGCCTGCGATTCTGTTCCCCTGCGCTTTTCCAGAGCACAGATGAAGGGACGGGGGACGGTGCGGGGCCCGGGATGCCATACCTGTAGGTGCGGGCGCCGGGGTCCAGCCGTAGCGTGTAGACGCTGCCGTAGCGACGCTGGGTGCGGGTCCCGCCCTCCCGGCCCGCCACCCGCAGCTCGCGGTCGGAGACGCGGGTGCAGGTGTGGCTGCTGAGGCCGGCGGGGGGGCGGCTGCCGGGGGCCGCGCTCCAAGCCTCCCACGCTCCGCGCTCCGTGTCCAGCGCGGCTACGGTGGCCACGCGGCGCGACCCGTCCCAGCCGCCCACCACGCAGAGCCAGCGCCC